TGGTGGATAAGTGGCTACCACAGTTAAGAGTTGACATTGATCAACTCAACCACATTGTGCCATCCAGTCTTCCCTTTGAAATTATATGCATTCTGAAGACAGTAGAGCTTCAACGTATTAGGTCAGACAGATTTTTGCCAGTGTCATGGGGGACAGATTCTTTGTGCTTCCTGCTGCACAGTCTTCCCAGAATGCCTCTTTAACGTGTTTTAACTGTATAATTCATTTTCACTACTCATTTTTGCATTATATATCAACCACTATCTATTATTTAAAACCTTTATCACCCTAAATAGAAACCTTCTAATCATTAAGCATTATATTAACTCCATATTTTCACCTCTTCCAGCCCATAAGATCAAGTTTACTTTCTTTATGCAAATTTTAACTATTCTAAATACTTCATATAAATAGAATTAGGCAATATTTGTTTTCTTCTCTGGCTGGCATATTTTACTTACTATATTTTTAGTCATCATTCATTTGAATTGAACGGTGTTCCATTAAGTGCATCTATTATCTGGTGATAATCATTTGGGCACTGACCAGTTGTCAGCAGCATGACATAGATGCATAAGCCCGTGAGTCTGCCTCCATCTCATTCCTGGTTTGTATAGCTTGTCTGTGTTTAGTCTTTTGAGGAACTGCCAAACAGTTCTTACACTGGTTACCCTGCTTGCTTATCTTCCATTAGTGTTCAGAAATTCTAATTTCTCCATGCCCTTGCCAGCAAGTGTTTTTATTTCCACCTCTGCCAATCAAAGACAAGACTTACATGAAAGAGTTAAGCTATGATGTTGTCCCAGGTTATTTGTCTCATCAGTGAGTTAGCTGATGCTTTTACTCTTTAGTTTTAAAAGACTTTGTTAGGTAGATATGGTGGTGCACGCCTTTCGTCTCAGCTCTCTTGAGGCAGAGTCAGGAAGATCTCTGAGAGTTGGAGGCCAGCTTGGTCTATATAAAGAGTTCCAGGCCCACTAAGTCTACATAGTGAAACTCTGTTTCAAAACCAAACAAAAGTAGTCTTTTGAAGATACCCTTTAAAATGTTTTATATAGAAGCATACTATATATTTTCTTAATTTAAGAAATAGAAAACTTTTTTAAAGGCACATTTTAAAGTCACATATAGATTATTTAGTTTTATTTATCCTAACATTTTTGCTTTTAGCTTTTCAGTTGGTGATCATTGACCAAATAATTGATAAATGTTTGCCATATAAACAAGAAACCTCCAGAACCTTTCAATCATTTTTAATGTGCATTTATCTGAATTTTGTATTAACATGTAAGCCATTTGAAGGAAGAGATTTCAACATGATCCTTTTCTTTGATCAGCTTGAGGTGTGGCATTGTCTCTCGTCTGAGTACATGTCATGCCCTCTGAGTGAGGATGGTACCTTTAGATTGGGAAGTCATGACCCTGGATTGAATTGTGGAAGACTTTTTCCTTTGTGAGATTGTAAGAGTTTCTGAGTTTCAGCTATCAGCTATCACATCTGCTGAAGATTTTCTAATCATAACTGAGCTTTCCTCTTTCCTCTCCTCTTAGACCACAGAGTTTCTTTCTGGAGGGAAGAGACATAAGTACCATAGTGTAGTTGGAGTTTTCTTTGGGCCACCAGCCAGCTCCCAAATAAAGACACAGAAACTCATTATTAATCATGAATGCTCGGCCTTAGTTTAGGCTCAGTCCACTTTTGACTTAATTTAACCTGTTTCTATTCATCTACATTTTGCCTTGGGCTTTCTACCTTTCATTCTGTGTGTCCTACTTTGCTTCTTCCTGTAAGTCTGGCTGGCTGGCCCCTGGCATTTCCCTGGCATCTCTTTTTCTTTCTTTTCCAGCCTAAATTCCTCTTCTTACTCTCCTTGCTCGGAAGTCCCACTTACCCTCCTCCCTCGATAATGGCAGTTCAGCTTTTTATTAGACCAGTCAGGTGCCTTAGGCAGGCAAGGTAAAACAACAACACACCTTTACATAGTTAAACAAATGCAGTACATCTTTACATAGTTAAACAAATATTCCGCAACACCATAGCTATTACACATGAGCTCACACAACTCCCTAGGTGCGTGTGGTTAGTTTTGTGTGTGTTACTCTGCTAGTGACTGATTTTCATTTATAGTGCATTTAGTGCACCTATTAGCATATTGGAAATTTGATGTTTGTTGAGTTAGATTTTGTTAATTTGACTACATTACTCTTGGATAGCAGACCAAGACTATTTGAAATTGTCATTGTAGACCATTACTATTGTGTGAATTCATAGAATGTTTCCTAGACTTTTTTTTCTCATCCAAGATACTACTAGCCAGAAGTTAGCATGAGGGTTTTAGATGCATTGCCTAAGACAGTGTTGTTCCTTTTGAGTAGCTTATTGTTTAAGTAGTCGATTTTCTCTCAGCGCCTTAACAAGCGGATTTTTCTTTTTACTCATACTAGATTCAAACTCAAGACTTGGAAATGCTTAGTTCTCCACCATTACACTTTACCTCAACTCTGTGAACAGATTGTTAAAATATGCTGATTAATATTAATATTAATGTTGTTTTACTATGTCTTGGAATTTCAAGAAGTAATAAGTTTATGTTTTAAGTATGCTTCCAGTGTTGATATTTTATTAATTTTTTTACATTATGTTATGTGAGTGGTTAATTATCTCAGATGTATAGTACATCAAATAAATGGCATTGTCTGTAGATTAAAATATAGATATTTACTTCTATTACAAATGTCTTCATACTCCAAAAGTGAACACATAGAATGTATTGTGTAGAATGTAACCTGAGAAAAAAATACATGGATAACAAGTGTACCCAACTAGATATTTTGCAAACAATGGACTTTAATTTAGCATCTTTACCTTATGTTTGAATTTTCCTAGACACTGTGGCATAGAAATAAAATACTGTTATTGGATAGTTTGGGTAATTAATGATGAGATGTTTTGTTGTTGTTCAAAGTAAATCTGATTAATATACATTTCTGATCATGAGGAAGTTACCATTATCAAGGTTGTTTAGTTGGTATATATTGTGTACTTTGGGTTATCATGTATTGATAGTATCGACCTTCATATTTACATTAGTAAGTCTATACAGTTAAAATAATTTTACTAGCTTAGGGACTGGTTTAGAATATTGGTTTTCCCAGTTAGTTTACTGCTTCGTCCTTTAAATCCCAGTCACTGTTTGAGATAAGCTGCTTCTAGACTGGAGCATTGCCAGTGAAGGATGGTGTGTATTTGGAAAGGAATCAGCAGAACTGCAGAAGACATTTTGTCTCCATGATGTTTTTGTTACTAACATTGCTTTGTCCCATTTAGTCAAAAGCACAGTTTCTCTTTAATCTTTCCCCATCCTGTGAATATAATTAGAGCTAGGGAGAGCTTTGGTGGTTTTAACAAAGCTTTGCTGGCTTAGCTACTTTGTTCGTTTACTAACTTCAGAACCTTGGGTGTAAAATTTATTGAGGTCCTTTGGGGCTAGAGAGATGTGTCAATGGTTAAGAGTACTTGCTGCTCTTGCAGAGGACCTAGGTTCAGTTCCTAGTACCCACATAGTGGTTTACAACCATCTATAAACAGTTTCGGGGGATCTGACATCCTCTTCTGGCCTCCTCCAGCACTGAATACATAACACATGGAGAGAAAATACTCATACACATAAAATCAGTGTAAATATTGAGGCCCGTTCTTTGAGCCATTGACACTCTTGGGCTCTTTCACAGATTTCATTGTTATCACCAGTGAACAGAGGTATTTTGTTATCATTATTCAGTCAGTTTTTGACCTTGGGCTTTCTTCCTGAAACAGGGTTTTTAATTTGAGTAGTATATTTAGATGGACGTAGTAACATCAAATGGAAGAGTCTCCTTTTAATCCTTTGGTTTAGGCATTCATGTTGTTCCTGCAACGTTTCCCTGACCTAAGATTTTTTGAAAACAATGAAGTTTCTGTTCCTTTGTTGTCTCAAAATGTTCACAAGGATTGGAAATTTGAGTCTAAGTCTAAATCCCCTGTAGGATTACTTATATGTGTGGGTCTTTGGTCTTCTTAGTTTCCCATTCTTGGCTGATGGTGGTTGTCTGTTAAGAGAGTAAGCCATACAGTTTCCCATTAGTGATGGACGACCTATTGTATTAATTCTGTTAGCTAATTTAGCTAATGAGGGTTCACTGTCGTTTTGATTGTGACAACTGACTCCCGTCATGAAATGCTGACTACCATGCGTTACAGACAACACAAAACAGTTATTTTGGTAAAACTGAGCATTAATGCTGTCTTAGCATCATTTCCACACTCATCTACGTGCTCTTACAGTACAGGGCCTCGAGTGTGCTCACAAGTGCCACTGCCACTGACAATGGTGTGGCCCTTTTTTATTTGGCTTTTATAGGGTCTTGCCAAATTGCCAAGTCTAAATTTGAACTTGGAGTCCTCCTACCTCAGCCTCTTGAGTAGCTGAGATTACAAGAATGTGCCACCACACCTAGCTGAGATTCATTGCATATAACAATAAAGCTATAGTTTATGATACTGTTTTGTTATGCATATGAATATACTTCCATTTGGAGCTGATTTAGTAGGTTTCTTAAACATATTGTTAGCAAAACTTTCAATTGTCATACAGTAGGTAAATCACTTGATACAGGAAAGTTTTATAACTATATTGTTAAATAACTTTATTATTTATGCTGTGCTTTTAAACAGTGAGAAAATTTTATTACTGTTTAAATATTGGTGGACTTAGTCATTTGAAGTCACTATTCTAGTGTAGACCATGGTGGGTACTATATGTATGAACTGAGTCGAGTTTTTAAATGTTCATGATGTCTGTATATCATGTTTTTGTTTCGTTTTGAAGCACAGTGATATCATAAAGTTTCTTATATGTGGTCTAGGTAGGATGATGTGTCTCCTTGACTCGCTTATCTCCTGATGTTCTTTATAATGTTTCTCCTGTGCCATTGGACTAACGCTGACTATTTCCCCGCAGCGTGGATCTGTGGCATCATCTCTATTACTGTCATTAGCCTGCTTTCCTTGCTGGGCGTGATTTTGGTTCCCATCATCAACCAAGGATGCTTCAAGTTCCTCCTCACCTTCCTTGTCGCACTGGCTGTGGGGACAATGAGTGGGGATGCCCTTCTTCATCTGCTGCCCCATGTAAGGAATCCTTTTACTCCGCTAAAAGTTACACAGGAACATGCTAGTGTTGAGAGGGCTCTGGCTTTATTTGTGGAGTTGTATGTTCTTATGGGTTGAAGCTTGTTTTTCTCATTTTCACAGTTTTAATTGCAGTATTTTTAAATAAATCGAACCATTAGGTTTTAAATGGGACCAGGAGTGCTAGATCATCTGATCTTTGTAATATATTAAGAACACCATTAGAAGTGTGTGTAGTATGTTGTCTTGATTGTGCATCTAGCCGGAGGGTACAGTGGTGAACACTCAGACTCAGTTGCTGATTTATTTTACTTTTACTAAATATTTGTGGTTTAAGTGATGATACTAATTTCTGTTTACAAAGGACTCATTACTTTTTGTTATTTCTTCTGGCTTCATTCATTCATTAGTGTTTTTCTAACCCTTGGAAGGCATTTATTTATCATGAAATATAATAATTTCCAGGCAATAAGCCAAGGAAATTAACTGGAAGACAACTTTATGTGCTACAATATCATGAAGCACGTTGAGATCTAAAAGCTGCTCATATGTCACCTATGGGCCCTGACACTTCGATCTCTTAAAAGTTGACACTAGAGGAAGTTGATCGGCAAGAGGGATGGGAGCGGTTGGTTGTCATGGTTCCTAAATTAGGGTTGTGTGGGAGATGAAGCTCTGGGTTCTGTAGCTTAGTAGAGGTGACTGCAGCTACGGATACAGTGAGGATAGGTGTGGAGACTGTGTGTGTGTGAAAGGACTCCAGATGTTCTTTTCACCATAAAGAAACGATAAATGTTTGAGGGAATTTAATATAACTTGAACATTGTATAATACATGCATGTATGAAAATAGTCAAGGAACTCAATAAATCTGGAGAGTTTTATGTACCAGTAAAAAGTTTAAAAATTTAAAATTTAGAAGATGGTCTTTCTATGTCTGTAAGATGTTATGGTCAAAATGTGAAGTAATTTCAGTTATTTTCTTCACTCTTGTCTAATAGTCTCAGGGTGGACATGACCACAGTCATCAGCATACACATGGACATGGTCATTCACACGGACATGAATCTAAGAAGTTTTTGGAAGAATATGATGCTGTGTTGAAAGGACTTGTTGCACTAGGAGGCATTTACTTACTGTTCATTATTGAACACTGCATTCGAATGTTTAAGCACTACAAGCAGCAAAGAGTAAGTGTTTCCATACGCGCTTTATTAGGTACAGTTCTAAACGAAGAGCATCTCTTTCTGAACACAGTTTTCTTAGTATGGTGCTGGCGTGTATGTCGTCTCTACCGTGTTGTCCTTCCTCTGACCCTTGTCCCTTTGTCATTACATTCACTTTGAAATTTATAATCAAGGTACAGCAGTGTCTGAGATAGCGTGTGTTTCATCATCCCTAATGATTTAAGTAGAACAGGGAAAGCTGCTGATCAGTTTAATTATGAGAATGTATATGGAAACAGGTCTCATCAATCTTCTCTTTCATTTTTAAGTGACTTTCACTGTATTATCTCACAGTGAAGTTTTTTGTACAACACCTTCACAGAAAAACTTGGCTAGTAGTAGAAAAACCAGAGGGAAGGGAGGGGTCAGGATAATAGGACCCCCTTGGGTGACAGCAGATAGAAATGATGGAAGCTGTAATTCTTTTTAACACTGAACCCCCCTGGGAGAAGATGCTCCACAACCTTGATTGTCCTTCAGCTGTCTGTGTTTGATGTCACACATACGAAAGTGTCTGTCAGAAAGTTGCTAATTTAAAGCTCCTACCCTTGGCTGTGCTTTAAGCCTGGCCACTCTGGTTCACATTAGCCTGACAGTATATCACAATACATGTGAGTGATACGTTTGAGGTAATGACACATAGTTAAGTAAAAGTTGCCACAAATGGACAAGAGTTACAAATTTCTTCTATCTTGTTAATTCCAAATGTAATCTTTTCTTTCCAGTACTCTGGATATTTATAATTTTGTTTGTGTGTGTGTGTATGCACACACACATTTTTGTATGTATTCCTCTGAGACAAAATAGACTTGGAAGAGATCTCCGATCCGAGGTCAAGGGAGTGACTCTCGTTCACACAGACATGAGTTGTGTGACTGTCTTTGATCTTCATGATCTTCAGTTACCATCTAAAGTACATGTTGTTTCTTATCTCTGTTTTCATATCACATTTCAGATCATGTACTTTAGTTTGTATTGCTTGTCTTCAGAGGAGGACTTAGATGAGAATCTCAGAAAAATATCTGTGGAATTTGGTATTGTTATGGTAAAAGACGCTGGGAAGGATGACCTTAAGAGAAAAATGAAATGGGTCTATTATGTGTTAATGAAATGGATCTAATTATATATTACGTTTGAAAGGTACAGTAATGATTTCAGCAGACGAGGGGACAGTAAAGTGGTGACGAGAATGCCAGAGCAGGGTTGGTTGGAGGAAAACAAGTTGTTTATGAAACAAAACACTGCGGGGTGATTTAGAAAACAGGTAACGGGCTTGGACCAGGGTCACAGAGCAGAGAAGGCAAGCAGGAGACGGAGGCGGTGATGGGAAGGGTTTGAGTGACATCAGATTTAGAGAGTCGGTGAGACCTGATAAGGGTCAGATGAGACATCTCCAGGTGTTGAACACGCCATCACATAAAGACCATATGATCGTCTCAGTAGATGCAGGAAAGGAATTTGGGGAAAACCAGTATTCTTTCATGATTCAACAAAACTAAACAGTTTGCTTTTTTGGGAAAGCTGTGAATGTGTGTCCTTTCTGATTCAGAACAACAATGTGATGCTAGAAACCTTCGTTTTGGTGGTCAGTGAAGAGAAAGTAGTAACGGAAGGCCCACATGAAGGATAGAGGGATTCACATCATTCCTGTTTGCAGAAGATATGGTTCTATTCACAGGAAAACCTCAAAATTCTACCAAAAGAAAAGCGGAACCAATAAATGCTGCATTCAGGAAAGTTTCAGGCTTCAGCTGACAAAAATATGACATGAGCCTCCTGAGAAAGGAGCTACAGGTTGAAGCGGGTAAATAGGGAAGACCTCCCTTCAGAGTTAATACTGTTAACTTGGACTTAAAGCAGTCCAAACTGCAGATTCAATGCAGTGCTCATTGAAAGAGCACAGTGGTTAATGGCAGTCCTCATAAAACTAGAGAAAACATTTCTAAAATTCATGTTGGGGCAAAGACCCCCAGAGCCAAAGCGGTTGGAAACAGCAGAACAAAGTCAGAAGGCAGAAGGCTCCCAGTTAGGACTTAAGGAGAGGCTGCAGAGTAACGTGACCAAGCCTCTAGTAACAGTGCTAGAACTCCTCAAGCAAAAGGTTGAAGCTAGACACTCACCTCACACCTCCTACAGAAATCAGAGACCTGAGAGCCTAAAACTGTTAGGAGGAAACAAGGGAAACATTTCAAGTTATTGCTCTAAACTGTGATTTTTTTTTTAAGTATGATACTCGAAATACAAGAAATAAAAGCAAAAATTGATTAGTGGTGTTACAGTAAATGTAAAAGCCTCCCACACAGCACAGGAAACAGCCTACAGAACAGGAGAAAATCTGAAAATGATCATCTAATGGGACTGATGTCCTGAATAAGGAACTGAAAAGCACTTAGAGACACTTAAGCCAGATAGGCATGTATGTTGGACACAGTCAACATTACTAATCAGCAGATACAAGCCGGAATTACAGTGAAAGCCAGGGGTAGAGGCTTGCTCCTGAGGTGCCTCCCCAGCAGTGTCAAAACAAACAAAAAACCCGCAATAAGAAATCTCTCCAGTAGTAACTAATGACCAAAAAAATAAATAAAATAAAAAGAGAAGAAGGAGGGTGGGGGAGGGGAGGAAGGAATTTAAAGATAACAAGTGAGGACGTGGAGAAAGGGAATCTGCATACCATAGGAAGAGGTAAAAATACCGTAGCCATTATGAGAGCTGTCTGTAGGTTCCTCAGAAAATTAAAAATAAGCTCGCCATAAGATCCACAATCCCCCTATTAGATATGTATCCAAAGGAAGCGAAGTTAGTGTGTCACGGAAACATCTGCAAGCCACTGTTGGTGTGGTACAATAGCCAGCAAGTGGAAATAGTCTATGCATCTCTTGTCAATGGAAAACGAAATTGTAGCACACGGCACCATGGGATACCATTTGTACATGGAAAGAATGTAGACGAGTACTTGCAACAAGGTAGACGGAACTAGAGATTGCTCAAGTAAAGGGAAGTTAGGCATAGAAAGGTGGGCACTGTGTGCTCTTCCATATGAGGACTCTTAAGTTGTCTCCTGGTAGCTGAGAGTAGGATGTGGTCACCAGAGGCTGAGGATAGCAGAGGTCAGGGGTGGGGACGTATTGACCAGTGACTACTAAGTTACTGTCAGACAGGAATGACAGCTCCACTGGGCAGTCCCACAGTGGGTTGACAATAAGCAACATTAATAAAAAGCTACAAGTTTAAAACCCTACACGGGATATTCTTTCTACAAAGAGATGGTAAGTGCTTGAGATGATAATAAGCTTAACCTGCTTTAGACATGCAGTGTGTCCCTGGATTAAAATACAACAGGGCAGCCTATGGATATATAGCTTTTGTTTTTTAATTTATCATTTAATGAATAATTTTTAAATGGTAGAATTGGCCAATGATATGAATAGAATTCTCATGGAATATAAATTGCAGAGAAATACATGAAACAGCAAACAACTTCCTAAGCCTTTGAGGAAGAGGGTAGTTTATTGTGGACTGTATGCACAGTGTGTGTGAGTCCCTGGGCTCAAGCTCGAGCTACTCCAAGAAGAACAAAGTAACTGTAATGAGTTACCGTCTCACCCAGCCAAGATGGCTAGGGTCAGTACAGCGGTCTTCTACTAACAGTGTGGAACAGTGTGGCTCACAGTGTTGGTGGCAACATAAACTGCTAATTACTATGGAGAGGGGATAAAGGTTCTTCCACAAACTAAAAAATAGATCTGCCATATAATCCAGCTGTCCCACTTCTGAGTATGCCTAAAGAAAATGAAATCAGCTTATAAACAGTACCTGCATATCCAGATTTCTTGCTGCATCACTCACAGTTCCTAAAATAAGGGACCAGCCCTTATGAACGGAGAAGAAGCCAGTATAGATGCAGAAAAGAGTATTTGCAACCAAAGAAAAGTAAATCTTATCATCAAGATGCATGGGACTAGAAGTTATGGTAAGTAAACTATGCCAGACTGAGAAATACAAATCCTGCACGCTGTAGTTCAGAATACTGTAGTCTATAGTTCATGAAGATCCTGAAGAGAGGATCACAGAGGCTTTCAATCATCAATAAATGATAAAGAGGGGGAAATACTAATTGATTACCCTGCTTTGGTCAGTACATACTGGGTGCATGTTTCAAAACACCAAACTGATTTCCATCAATAGGTATAATTAACTATGGTTTTTGTTCATTTCTTTTGCTTTTTCAAGACAAGATTTCTCTATGTAGCTCTGGTTGTCCTGGAACTAACGCTCTAGACCAGGCTGGCCTCGAACTCACAGAGATCCGCCTGCCTCTGCCTCCTGAGTGCTGGGATTAAAGGCGTGCGCCACCACCACCACCTGGCAATTACTGTGTATTTTAAAAGGAAAGGATGTTTATACAGAAATAAAACAGAACAAAGTGCCAGGAAGACATGATAGCCAGTCAAGTGTTTGCCATGCAAGCAGAACCCACGTTCAGGCTTCACAACCCACATACTGGCCAGGCTAGCCTAACAGGCAAGTTCCAGGCCAGTGAGAAACCAAATACCAAAAAAAAAAAAAAAGAGGGAGCGGGAAGAAAGATGTTAGGTGGATGCCTCCTGAGGAGCAGTACCTGAGATGGACTTCTGGACTTCTGGCCTCGACAGATAGGCACCCACATGTTCATCCACATGAACACACCCACACATGCATGTCCACATACACAAAAGAAGAAAAAAAGGCCCATGACTACAGTAAAAACTATATTACAGATGTACTACATTCTGTTGGTCAAAGCCAGCCAAAAGTCTAGGCACTGGGGTAGATCCATGTCCTTAGGACTAGAGCAGAGTGCTCACACAGGGAAAGAGGAAATGGATAGTGCCTGTAATTGGAGACCGAGTCAGGCACAGCTAGCCATCTGAGCATGCACACAGCAGTTAGAGTGATCACACTCCTGACTCAGAAGCCATCCTGAAGGTGCCACTTCCAGAGAGGCCTCAACTCGTTTTCAGTGTTCTCGAGTAAATGCTTTTAAACAGACATTAGAGGAAAGCGGGAAGTCTAGTCAGTCGTCCTTACTGATGGTTAGTGACAAAGTACGCCGGAAAAGCCACACTGCGGAGTCAGGAGAAGAATTCAAGCCCAGGTGCAGCCGTTTGTACGTTCAGTAGTTGAGGATGAAATTATATTCAGTGTCTGCTCAGAGCGTCACAAGAAAGAAGGCTTGTTTTTATTTCCAAGCTGTTCAGAATCCGTGGTTGTCATGTGTCACCCCACTAAATCCTCATGGTTGCTTCCGTTTTGCAGGTCAGTTGTTGTGTGCTCTGGGTTAATAAACTTAGGCTTGCCCATCAGAAACAGGCTGCAGTTGAGAGATCCAGCTTAGGCTTGACTTTGCATTGCGCCACACCCGTTGTAGTGAGAAAATAAGCATGAAAATTAGGAAACTGTTTCTGCTACTTGATAGTACTACAGAGGTACCATACACAGTATTTCACCTGGCATTGGGATGTGTAATATTGGGTTGTGTAATAGTTTAGTGCTGTGCATTCTGTTCTCAAAAGAGATGAGTTGAGCCAGTGAGATGAGTTGGTGGGTAAAGGAGCTTGTGGCTAAGCCTGATGACCTGAGTTTTATACGGTAGAAGGAGAGTCCCCCAATTTACCCTCTGACCTCCACACACATATTATGGCATGCATATAAACACACAGACTGGACATTAAATAAAAATGTAGTGGTCAATTAAAAAAAAAACCATGTATAGTGTTAACAACAATTGCCTGCAAATGGGTGTTAGTAAGGGTATATTATTACTAGTTATTGCTGTGGATTTTACACTAATACCAGTTGTTTTCCCTCCTACAGGGCAAACAGAAATGGTTTATGAAGCAGAGCACAGAAGAATCGGCTATCGGAAGGAAGCTTTCAGATCATAAGATAAACAGCACACCGGACGCTGACTGGCTCCAACTCAAGCCGCTTGCTGGTAGCCAACAATTCCAATGAGAAACTTAAAATAGAAAAGTTGAATAATTGTTTCCATGCAGTGTGTTTGAAATTTCTTTTCTTTGTGGTTTTCCTAATGTGTTCTTCCTTAAATGTGAGTGTGTCTTGTAATTTTATTCATTTTTACTTCAGTTAATTCCAGTGCTGCTCATGCTGTGGACTAGCTATATTAGAAGCAAGGAAAACTTACACTTCATAATTTAAAAATACAGGAGTGAAACCAAAAAAAATCAGTATGATGACACTCACCCATAATCTCAGCATCAGGGAGGCTGGGGCAGGAAGATCTTCAGTTGAAGTCCAGCCTAGGCTACTTAGCAAGGCTACTCTGTTTCAGTATATCAAAAAGAAGAAGTTAAATGCTAAGCCATTCTTTGTCACAACCAGAACAACCCCCAAAATGAGACAGTCTTCTGTGATAGTGTTAGCTAGATAGTGCCATCCCCCTGTCTCGGCCTTGCTGGTGCTGGGTTTGCAGGTATGGATTACCGTCCCCTCGAGGGGTACTATTTCTTGACAGTATACAGTCTCCTTTATATGCGTTGGCTATAGAAGAAAAAGGAAAAGTCGCCTCTAGTTAGAGGAGAGTGTCTTCCCCTTGTGTTGAAAATCGACAGGTTCGGCTTCTAACAGAACGAAGAAGCTCAGACAGTTTTCAGAGAAAAAGCAAAGATTTTCTTAACGCAGTGTATCAGTTACATTTCGGGTTCTCTTTCCCTCAGTGTGTCAGGGATTATCAGCATGGATGGCAGCCTTCCCTGGCTGTGGACTCTCCCGAAAGACAGTTATTCAGATCTTTGTCATTAAAAAAGAGTGCTGGAAAGTAATTATTTTTAAATGACGTATCAGATGTCATCAGCACATTTCAACAAAGATCTCTAAGTAGGATTTTCATTGGTAGAACACATGTGTAGAGAACTTTGCCATCAGCTAACTGACTTGGGCAAGTTATTTAAATTTCAGCTGATAGACTTTAGAAAATGTCTAGTGGAATGACATCTAAAATATTTTAGGGAAACAGTCACTTGAGACTAAATGTATTCACTTAAGCGGTGCCCTTTGCCCTGCTTTCTTGCCCAATTAGCACATGTGAATACATCTGTTAGATCCGCGTTATCCTTTCTTTTAATGTAGGAACTGATGACTCGGTTGTTTCTGAAGATCGACTGAATGAGACTGAACTGACGGATTTAGAAGGCCAACAAGAATCCCCTCCTAAAAATTTCCTGAGTGTGGAGGAGGAGAAAATCATGGACCATTCTCACAGTGATGGATTACACACCATTCACGAGCATGAGATCCATGGAACTTCTCACAACCACCACGACGAGGCTAAGGCTGTGCTGAGGAAGCACAGCCACCAGCGGCACCACAAGCACTCCCATCACTCCCACGGCCCCTGCCACTCCGGCTCAGATCTGAAAGAAACAGGAATTGCCAACATTGCCTGGATGGTGATCATGGGGGACGGCATCCACAACTTCAGTGATGGGCTGGCCATTGGTGAGTGTCGGAAAGCTTGCGTCATAATTTATTCTTTGAGCAGGCTTTCCTTTTTCTACTAAGTTCCTCCTAATCTTAGGAACTATAATCCATAAGGTTAAATTTTACCTAGAATTTTTAAATGTCTTGCTATACATTATGGCTGTTTGTTTTTCTCCAAAGAATATGGTATTTGGAAGTAAAAGATGAAATTTTAGTAGTTTTTGTTTTTCTGGCACTAAACCAGTATCTGTAGTATAGTTCTTAAATAGCTTGCTTTCTCTTTAAAGTGCAGTGACCTCACTGCCTCTTTAACATCGCATTTCATATGCATAGACACACCCACAAGAGACTAGTGTAATGTCAGCCTTGGATTTAATAAAGTTTTCACAGCTTTGGAAAAGTGAAGAAAAGTTTCATATTAAAAACCTACCATAGCAAATTCACATACTGTAGAATGTATATGAACTGTGTATGCTGTTGCTGTAATGTAAACTAGTGACTGATTTAAAACATTAACTGTGACCAGGACATAGTTCTTCTTGGGATCTAAATTTTATTAATCAGAAATAGGCTTTGGTTTCTTTCAGAAAGCAGAAAGTGTATTTTTTTATAACATAGTATTTATACCCATAGTAGCTGTTGATAATAAAGAATACAGACTTCTGCTAGTGGAATGAGATCTTATATACCAGTGTATGTTCAAAAGCTGTGATGTATAATGTGGGTGAATAACATAGAGTATGAAATTAATTTGGGTAGAAGGAACATCTCACAAACAAGAGTGGGAGAACCAGGAGCCCTGAACCTCACTTACTGTTCGCTGTGTTCATGATCCTTTCCAGGGGCAGCTTTTAGTGCTGGATTGACGGGAGGAATCAGTACTTCAATAGCCGTCTTCTGTCATGAGCTGCCACATGAATTAGGTATGAGCCTCACATTCCTGCCGGCTTTCATCACATCTAGGCCTTCTTCAGCTGTAAAGTGCATTAAAGTAGAAATGTTGAGAGAGAATCTATTGGCAGGTGGAGAGTGCTGTTGACGGCCAAGTGCATCCCAGTATAAGACTGAAAGTACCTACTTCGTCAGAGAAGCTAGGTTGATGATCATAAAAGTGTTTCTCAGATGCCTGATTATGGCATTAGCTCCTTTCTATTTCATTTCATTTATCATATACATTATATTTTCTTTTGTTTGTTTGCTTTTGGTTTTTCAAAACAGGATTTCTCTGTGTAGCTTTGGAGCCTATCTTGGAACTCACAACTCACAGAGATCCGCCTGCCTCTGCCTCCTGAGTGCTGGGATTAAAGGCATGTGCCACCGCCACCGAGCACATTATATTTTCTTGAAGATGCAGGGTAAAGTTTGCTACTACATAATTGAAAATTGAACTGCAGGAACCTAAGACAATGATTTCTTCACAGATGATGGAGAGATCACATTGTTGTCCAAACAGTAACCAGAATGTTATTAGACTTTAGACTTGGATGCATGGATGGTTATTAGAGAAACTGGAAAGTGGTCCTGACTCTCACTGACGGGCTCTAGAATAATCATTAACTTCTAATCCTTTCTTTCTTCAACTATAAAGTTAGGTGTTTGGACAGATTTGTGTGTGTGTGTCTGTGTGTGTGTTATTATTCTTACATGATTTTAATAAAGTAGAGCCCTCAAAATACTTTTTTTCCCTATTTTTTTAATGTTTTCTTGCTCATAGTGTGTACTATAATTCCAGTATCCAAAATATTTTGTGCAGGTTCTTATTTTCCTGTTCTCTTCAGTTTCTCTGTCTTGTGGGTGGATAATCATTGTCTTATGTTTATTTTATAATTGTTATTACATATTCTAAAAACAAAGATTTGGGAATTTGTTTTGTTTTGGTGAGACAGGATCTCACCATTTTGCCCTGGAACTTGCTGTGTAGACAAGGCTAGTCTCAAACTTGTGTCCATCCTGCCTCACCTCCCAAGTGTTGGGATTAGAGGCATGTACCACTATGCCTGGCCCAAACTCCCCTACTGATTCTGAGCCGTGTGTTTTGGCATCAAGACACTCACCAATGGCCAGCCCATCACTGAAGTTGTGGATGCCGTCCCCCATGATCACCATCCAGGCAATGTTGGCAATTCCTGTTTCTTTCAGATCTGAGCCGGAGTGGCAGGGGCCGTGGGAGTGATGGGAGTGCTTGTGGTGCCGCTGGTGGCTGTGCTTCCTTGGTTTAGCCACATGCCCAAAACAGCGGTATTGAGAAAAGGACAGATGTGCAAATCACGTAGCTTAGTGTCTCCATATATATTGAAGTTTATTTTCAGCAAAAGTACAAAGAAAATTCCAGACAGGGCTCAGCAAATGATGCTTCAATATAGGATGTTTACTTGACAAAAACAGAAGCTGTCAGAAGTGTTGTGATTCACACCTCACACCATGAACAAAATTAACTCAAAATAAGCTGTTAGTCCACACAGTGTCTCTGTGTCTGGGTTAGTAGACTCTTCTTAGGCACATTATTAAATACATAACCTATTAAGAAAATAAAACAGACATTGTTTAGAGAGTGAGAAAAAAGCCACAGACTGAAAATTTGGAAGACATGTATTTATAAAAGGCCTTTAGTAACACAATATTAAAGACTTCTCCACTTAGTGACAGGGAACCTCTTCCAACCCCACCCCATCCCCCCAAAAAAATGAGACAAAGATTTGAACAGATATTTACTAAAGAAGACAGTAGATAAATGTGAAATTTCAGTTCCTGGGTTTGTTACATGCTGTCAAGGATGTGAACAACTGTAGTCTTATATTTGGTAGGGATGGCTTTACTCAAAAGAATTGAAAAGTTGAGTTGATACAAAAGCCTGTTTACTGTGTACAGTGAGTTCATAATTGCCCCAAATGATAAGTAACCCAAATGCCTTTCAGATGGTGAATAAAGCATTATTTGTCTATGAGATGAATATTGCTGAACAATAAAAGTAATTTCCTGATACGTAGAGCGGTGTATTATGGCAAGTGATAAAAACCCAGACCCCAAAAATGCATGTTGTTTGACTCCATTCATATGATATTTATTATGGAAAAGACAGAACACAAACATAACAACACAAAGCGAGTTGCTTGCTGTGTTAGTGGTGCAGGGCCCAGGGGCACTCGGGAACTAATAGAACAGTTCTAGAGTTTGTTAGTAGTTGTGATTACATGGTATGTGTGTTGACAAAGATCTGTAGACCTCTGCATCAGAGAAAACAAGAGCGAGTTTTCACATAAAGAGACAGTTTCAATATAAACTAAGTACCGGCTAAGTTGAGAGAGAGAGAGAGAGAGCCCAAGAGATTGAGACAACTCAAGTGTGCATGCTTTAAGAAAACAACAGTTGTACACACCACTGGGTGGATATGATCTTCTCAAGGCACAGAGCAGCTATGTCTTATTTTTGTAGAAATTAAGTAAAAACAATTCCTTCTGAAGGATTCAGAGTTGAGGGTCAGCTTGAGCTGCCTGAGATCCTGTCTCAACAAACACACACCCTCTGGATCTTGACTAGTTAATTCACCCTCCTAGTTACTCAAGAGGGAAGTAGATCATGCCACGCTCTGTGTGGTAGCAGGGAAGATGGCGTTAGTGCAGTCTGTCCTTCTGCCTGTGTTCATTAAGTTCATGAAGTATTAGATCATGCTGCTTCCTGAGCCACACTGCCGTAACTAAAGGAAGCGATGTCCTTCCTAACCAACCTGAAGGACACATGAGAAGCCTCCTTCTCTAATACCTGCTGAAAGGTGTCCCTTTGTTGTGACACAGTTGGTACAGGGTGAATTACAGCAAAAACAGAAGAAATTGGTGGAGAAAGAAGTGAGGTAGCTCTTTCCAAACAGGAACATACAGAAGACTGGACAAAATTAAACCACACCCCAGGGAAGAAGAGAGCCAGCCAGTGCAGGACTCCGCAGGATGGTCAGGAAACAGCTGTACCAGTTAATTTTCTGTCAGCTTGACACACGCGGTAGTCATCTGAGAAGAGGGAACCCCGACGGAGAAAATGCCTCCGTGAGATCCGGCTGTTGGACATTTTCTTCTCTGTCTGTCTGTCTGTCTGTCTGTCTGTCTGTCTCCTTTCTTAAGATAGGGTTTTCTGGGTATCCCTGGCTGACCTGGAACTATCTCCATGACCAGTTGGCCTCGAACTCAGAGATCCACTTGTCTCTCCCTCCCCAGTACTGAGGTTACAGCCGTGCACCCCCACACCTGGCCTTTTAACTGGCTTTGTATATACAGTTGGTTGGCTCATCACATACATACAGACTTAGGGAACTGTACCACACACAGGATTGTAGAATAATTCTATCACCTCTACGACTTTTGTGCTGCTGTGTTGTTAATGATGTATGTTTATAATGCATTCTTAATTTTCTTATTAATAGTTTCCTCTACTCAGAATTGTACTTTCAAATCCTGTGGTTTTAAATTCCCGCATGATGTCTGAATTGCAGGTGATTTTGCAGTTCTTCTGAAAGCAGGCATGACTGTAAAGCAAGCGATTGTGTACAACCTGCTCTCAGCCATGATGGCTTACATCGGGATGCTCATCGGCACGGCTGTGGGTCAGTATGCCAACAACATCACACTCTGGATCTTCGCCATCACAGCAGGCATGTTCCTCTATGTGGCCTTGGTGGACATGGTAAGATGCTTTCAGTATCTTTTTCTGTTATACTAAACTTGCAAATAGAATGCAGCTTCCAGAAATGGAAGACACCTTTGGAAGTGGTTGGAAACTTCAGTTTTTTTAAAGACTGTGACAATGTAAATAATAGTCAGGGAAAGGCATTTACCTTACAAAGATTTCTTGGAGATGCTGAAAATTTCTAACCAGCTAATGTCACAACTCAAGTAATAGCAGTATTTAGAGATATAAGTAAAGAATTCTCTCTGAAGACCTTGTGATGTTGGGTGGGACATCTTGTCACTGTTTACAGAATCTTTTGAGGCCCTTCGTGGCCATGAAGAAGGAAGGGTTCTGTGCACATGCTGGTCTTTGTATCTGACTTCAGCCTGATTGTGGCAGCAGCTGTTTCATTTTCATTTACTCCAGGATTCCAGATCCGTTGACAGTTCTTCTCTGGGGTTGTCGGGTTCTGGAGGTTTCATTTTACCTTGTAACTAGACACTCTTTGACCTTTCTTCCTGGCAGGGTTCCTCACACAGTCTCAAACTCCAGTCCCGTCTAAGAAGAGTGCCCCTCAGTCCTTACACCGACCTGCAGGTTTTTGCCTGCAGGCTTGTGTAACCCTCGAGCACTGTGCTCGCTTCACCCTTTCCTGACCCTGCGTCGTTTCCTCTTTCTGTGCCATCGAGAACTCTCCGAGGGGAGGAGCTCCTGCTTCCTGCAGCCCCTCTGTGCCTGGCTTCTCACGTCTCAGGCAGCCTGTGCGCACCGTGAGCCTGCTCCTCGGGTAGAGCCCGTGAGTCCCCGCTGTGCTTCCTCTCCTTGGCACTGGTGTCTTCCGCTGTGGGTAGCACACTGAGCACTTGACTTCATTTCTCAAGCTACTGCGTCGCCCACACGGAGACAGCCCCAGAGGGACAGCATTATTGTCACTATTATTAGTTGTCATCTGCCACTGTGAATGAAGATGCTCTGATCCTTGTACTAGGAAGCTAAAGATCAGAAAAAAATTTACAGTACGAATTTGTGGGTTTTTTAATAATGTTTTTGTTTATTCTTTGATAATTTTATACAGTATATTTTGAACCTCTCCCAAACTCCTCCCTGCTTCTCCCCAGCTTGGTTCAGTCATGCGCTGTATTTGGAACTACAGAGACGCTGACTGAGAGGGGCGTCATTGTGTTTCTTCTAACAGGAAATCTGGGCTGAGTGTGAAAGGGTTGCAAGGGTTTATTGGCAGCAAGAGGAACGGGTTCATGAACCTCAGTCGGGATAACAGAACTCTTCCGACCACTAGTTCTCCTCGGGGGAGCGTGCTCCGGGGACGTAATAGGTGGTGACGTCATCGTACAGTAAGCACGTGTGCTCCGGGGACATAATAGGAGGTGACGTCATTGTGCAGTAAGCACGTGTGCTCCGGGGACATAATAGGAGGTGACGTCATCGTGCAGTAAGCACGTGTGCTCCGGGGACATAATAGGAGGTGACGTCATCGTACAGTAAGCATGTGTGCTCCGGGGACATAATAGGAGGTGACGTCATCATACAGTAAGCACGCAGACAAGAACAGACCCTCTGACGTTGACAGACGGCAATAAGCTCCCTGCATATATTTTCTAGCATATTATTAACACAAAATGACACTTTTTCTAACTAGCAGAAAAAAATTACTTAAAGACAATATCCAGGGCCATTGAGAACTGGGCAGGTAAAGGCACTTACCGCCAAACCTGGTGACCCGAGCTCCCTGGTGCAACTCTTGGGAACACCCCGAGTTCTCAGGGTAGATGCAGAGAACCACACTTACTGCAAGTTGCCCTCTGACCTCCACAGTGCACTGTCTGTCTGTCTGTCTGTCTTTCTCTGTGTCTGTCTGTCTGTCTCTCTCTCTCTCTCACACACACACACACACACTCTCTCTCACTCACAATAAGTAAATGAAATACATTCTAATTTAAACATTTTAAAATGATAATGTACATATGTCACTTGTGAATTAACAAAAACCCTGAGAAGGCTACAGCAGTAAAGTAACATGACCACATTTGTATTTTAGAAAGGCTGCCCTGACTGTAGTGAAGATTACTTACAGCCATTGGAAGCCAGTCGGGCAGGTATTGGCATTATGTAGAGTCTCTGCTTGAGGTTCCTAAAGGAGCCTCATGGAAATGTCTGCTTAGGGGACTTTGGGCAGTGCTGTTTGCTGACTACTATGGAAATAATTTTTAATTGAGAGAGAGAGACATAGAGAGAGACAGACACTTATGTTCATCCCAAACAAGGGCGTGTGTGTGTGTGTGTGTGTGTGTGTGTGTCTTACGTTCATCCCAAACAAGGGTCCTTAAGAATGCCAGGCAGGCTGTACCCCAGAGCTTCACCTCCAGCCTCTCCTGTGAATATGCATAGGTGCTGTATCCCAGTAGATGCTGGTCGGCTCTTTACTGTGCTTATGGCGGTTGTGTTGGCGTTCAGAATAAAATTTGAGTGGCAGAGACCCAGCATTATTCTAGTCCCACATACAGGAGTCCAGAGTACATTCCTGGGAGATGTTCTGTGTATTGTTTATTGTTTATTCAATATTAGGGGAAGTTAGAAGGAAACGTTTTTATAACAATAAAAACTTATAGGCAGGAAGAGAAACAATGTAATAAGATCAGTCTTACTAGAAGTAGACAGAGAAGCTTCAGTCTGTGTTTTAAATGCCTTGTTAACACCTGTCTTCCAGCTCCCGGAAATGCTTCACGGTGACGGCGACAACGAAGAGCATGGCTTCTGTCCAGTGGGGCAGTTCGTTCTTCAGAATTTAGGATTGCTGTTTGGATTTGCCATCATGCTGGTGATCGCCCTTTATGAAGACAAAATTGTGTTTGACATCCAGTTCTGACCATTCCCAGGTTGATTGCGAGAATGTTCGTGCAGCTTGCCTCTGTTCCTTGTCCTGTATGCACATTGCTCAGGGAATTCAGTGGCCTGCACTACTCACAGGTTCCGTAGAGTTGAGCCTAACCGTGAAAGACTGGTGCTCAGTGCTGTTTTCTCTGCATGAATGGATCCTTTAAAAACAAAGTTTGTGATAAAGACAGGAGAAAATGGGACTCCATGAACCAATGTCGATAGCAGTTTAAGACTTTACAAAAGAGAGAATCATATAAAACACTAGTCTTTTTATTAGTAGAAACTTCTGTGGCTATGCAGAAATAGAAATTAAACCAAAAAATCATTTAAACTTTAAAAATATTTTAAATGGACTCTGAGCAGACATTTTTGTGTGTATGCTAAGAATGAATTTTAGTGTCCTTTAATTCAGCTACATATATACATATGGGGTTAATAGGGATCAACTTGACCCAACTTTGAAACTGTATAAAGTCGACTTTAGGAACTAGAGGGACACCCAGGCTGCGTTAGAGTATGGATTTAGCATTGGGAAAAGCCCGTATTCTTGAATCTAGAGTTACTATTTTTGTATATATTTGCATAGTGTTCAAACTTGCAGCCTAAACTACTGAAATTTGTGATTGTATGTTTGTGTGAACTTCAGTTTAATGAAAGATTCTTAATGGTTCTTTGCATTACTATACTTGGTGTTGGGGTTATTTTCTTTTTTAACTTTGTTTTTATTTTTGGGGGTGAGTCAGAGCATGTAGTCAGATACCTTTTTCTTAAAATTACCATTCTAGAAAATATCAAAGATGTGGTGTTCCATTTGCCTAGCACCAACTAGGTTGATGGGAAAATTTTAAGTTCTGAGTGTTCACGTTACTTTACTAGTTTGGCATTGGCACTCAGAGCACATGCCGTGGCAGGCAGTAAAATCTCAGTTTGCCATGCCTGTAGCCTGTATATAAAACGTCAGCTAAACAGTCACTGCGCTGGTACCATGGCTGCCGTGGTCCCATGTCCATGACTAAGCCAAAATCACTTTATCATTTTGTGCCAAGATACACTGCTGGTGCCTGATAGGGATAGTCTGTGTGGGGGTGCCTGCTCTCACGCCGTGGTGAAGGGATGTGTGAGGAGTGTAAGTCGTGTTCAGCCTGAGCTACTGGGACTCGGGAACTTGTAGACTAGTCATGTGCATCTTTCTGTTTAGACCTCCTGCTGCTCACTCTTCACTTTCGGAAGTGAACTGTGTCTCAACCGTGCGCAGCCAGCTTTAACGCTTGGCAGCCAGGATTGCCCTGGAAAAAAACAAACTGTAAGAGCCAAACCCTGTCCGTTCCATTTTAAATGATTTCATTCAGTCCTTTTCCCAGTTCTTTTAGTCTGTGAATTTTTTAAGACAAAAACAAAAATTTGAGAGCAGCACATGCATCAAGGTGTTAGATAATCACCAGTATTCCTTAGTTGTGTTCTAAGCGAGGGTTCCCTAGGTGTTATTACTTCTGTAATCTAGGCTTGAATTAGAGCAGTTGTCTTTTTCCGAGCCCTCCTTGAAGTAGTGGTTTTGTGCACGTTTTCAGCCCTGGGTACAGCTGGGACAGTCTGGCCTTTCACCTCCTTGCCTGGCCCTTTGAGCAACCTTGCTGGAAGGGGCCAGTGTACTGAGTACTGCCAACTTCAAGTGACTTGGATATTTTGCTTTCAAAACCAAGATACATTTCTAGTTCATATTTGAGTTTTACACCCAAGGAGGATTGTGCATTCCAGCATTAAATCTGCTTCATTTAAAACAACAGCTGGAATAGACTCCCATTCTAAAAGGCCTCATTTACAGCTGATCAACGGTTATGCTCACAGTATATAAAGTTTGTCTTTATTTGCTAGACCTTCTTAACCGTGTAGGAAAGCTTTAACAGTTGCTGCTAGTATTTGGATAGGGTTCCACCAGTGTTTGGTTTTGACGTCGTTTTAATGTATAATTTCAGGTCTCACTAGACAATCCTAATTCCACTACATTTCTGTTTGGCTCCAACATTCCACTTCGCTGACCAGTCCAGTTTTAACAGATGCTTGTTGGAGGTCACCAATGTTACTTGTACAATGCTGTCGCCATGTGACATTCGTATGGATTTTGGTGTTATATCACATTGCATTCAATCAGCTATGATTATGCTTAGAAATACTTTAGTAGCTAGGTGCAGTGTGACCCTTTTCCATTAACAGTAAGTCAGTGGCTTAAATGTGATTATGGTCCTGCAAGGTGATACTTGCTAAAATATCTAAACATTTTTTGTTGTAACTGAATCATTTTTTTTAAATTTATAAAGCTGGAAGTAATCAAATGCTGTTTTTTCATTGTCAACAGTGGTGTGTCATTTTATATACGTTCCTGATGCTTACGGAACTCTCCCAAAATAAAGTTATTCAAAAAGAGAAAGAAAGTGCACTGGAGTTTTTTCAGTCTGTCTCAGAACATTAAGTATGAATTCTCATGGTACTTTAAAAAGGCCAGAATATAGTCATAATTAAGAATGTTAGTTCAGTTTATTTAAGCCAAAACAAAATCTAAAAATACAATGTGTTCTACTCGGTCTAACAAGAAGTAGGAGGAGGTGGTGCCACCTTCGGATCACGAGTTCAGTTGGCACAGCAGCGCGACGCCCCGTCCGATCCAGTGCTCCTTGGGGTGGTCGGAGGGGAGTGTCATGGCAATCACGAAGTTGGTGGAGTGGCCCGTGGTGGACAGAGTGCCTCTCCTCTCACTCGTCTTGTACAACGGAGCCACGTAGCTCGGCCGCTCGGGGATGTCTGACCTCTTACAGGGTTTCAGCCACATCTGGAAGAAAGTGCAAACGCCTCTCTAAGTCAGAGCTGTTAGACCGGCACATAGTCGTCCCAGAGGAAAGGTACATCTAAAACTCTGTGCCCCAGGTAGATCTTGTCAACAGCAAAATGGTTGCTCAACTATGAAGACTACAGAATGAGCAGGAAACAGTTCACCTCTGTTAGAAACATACTGCCCACTCACTTTTTTAGCTGCTGTTTGGCTTAAGTGAGTTTATTGTGCTGGCCTGGGAAATGTTACCCCTTTTCCTCTTTTTCTGTAGAGAAAATATTCTTGGTGAACTTTAAATTATGACCCATATTTATGTCGGAGCTGCCTGTGTAGTGGCTTTTCAGCAGTTTGTATGTAAAATGTTTTTACAGTAAACAATGTATAAGAAATTGCATTGTGCCATCATGAAGGCACTAATATTAAAAACATATTACCTACTGTGTGTCACCTCTTCCCTGAGGGTGATTTCTGGTGCTTTTAATTACAAAACAAAATTTGATAGGTTTTCAAAGAAATGTATCACTATTTACGCTCAGAATCATAATGGCTTATTTATTTAAAACTAATAACAAATTCTGAAAAGTTTTTTTGGGGCAATAGTTACCTAACAAAATCACCATAAATACCATGTATACTATGCATACTGTGCTGTGGGCCAGGCAAGATGGTTCAGTAGCGGCACCTAGTGACTCATCTACTCCTCCACAAGAACTAAACAAGCCTGTGAAGCTGCAGCCTGAGTTGAGTAACCTTGGGAAAACACTGGAATTCAGTATCAGAAAACAAAATCCTTGCACAGTCCAGATCGCAGCAAGGCAAGAGAAAATAGTCCATCTGCGGCCTAGTTCCGCAGCTCTGGGAGGGGCTCACCTCCAGCAAATACTCAGCTCAAACAAGCACTGAGTTCCCAGGTCCTTCTGGGTGCACAGCCTTAAGAGATTAGGGGCCTGAAATCCACACATATTGGCTCCCTCCCCCCCCATGCCCCAGGAGACCCCCAGGGTGCTGTAGCCAACAGCCAGCCTAAGAAGGGACCTCATTGGCTGGATTGCTCTAAGGATCGAAAACCTTCACATACTCCCATCTCTGGAACCCCACATTCTCTACATTTGCTTAGCAGGAGGATTGCTCACCAGGCAAACTGAGATTACTACATGGTGATGAACAGGTGTGATGCAGAGGGAGCCAAGGGTCTCCTCCACAAGAACCAGGGTTGTGATGTGAGCTCTGTGATAGGGATGATGCTTTAGAGGGGTGAAAAAGATTCCACTGCCTCCCTGCCTGCATAGTTAGAGCCAGGGAGATAGTTCTCTGTCTTAGAAATGTACACCTGGGGACCCGCTGGGGGGTAGGGAGCTATCTGAGGTTCGAGTGCTGGGGAGGCGCATCCCACTGCACTTGCCCTGGGCCCTGCATCAGTTACCTCTCACTTGTCTGGTCACACACTGCTGACAAGGAGGGGTGAGCACTCCAGAGGGTGGAGGGAATGCTCTGTCACTCCCTGTGAAGCACCTGGACCCCTCCAGGGTCTAATCAAAAGACAGTGCTCAGACCCTTCACCATGGCTGCAGTAGCCAAGACTAGAGCCCATGAAATAACAGAACCAGCATCAACAGTGCCCAAGAAGCCCCACTACTGGGTGAGGACCATCACTCCTCCTATACAAGGAACCATATAGGGTGCATATCATTCATTCTGCTACATACTTCACACCTGCTTGAACTGTTAGTGTCCCACTCATGGGTAATCCATAAGCAGGGGGGTCTGACTCAAGTCTGTGCTCTGTCCAAACTTAACCACAAAGAAATCACAAGATTATGCTGCAGTACCCAGAGTACCCAGCTGGAAATGAACTCAGCATAGCATAATGAACTGACACTCCAAGACACATCTTTAAGAGAAAGTCATATTCTAGGAAGGCTATCCCATATAAGTGGTAGAGATATCCATTTCAATAGATGCACAGATTTCAACATATAAAAACAAGAAGTAGTCTAAATATTTTAAAACAATACTTCTAAAAAATAACTCCCTAGTAACAGATTCCAAAGATACTGCTGTTGATGAGGTACCTGACAGATTCAAAAGAATGATTATTAAAACACTTAGTGAGAGGGCTGGGGTGTGGGTAAGACATCAGCACAATGTTTTCCTAGCAGTGAGAGAGCTGGGGTGTGGGTGAGTCATCGGCATAGTGTTTTTCTAGCATGCATAAAGCCCTGGGTTCAATCCTCAACACCACACAAAGCCAGGCATGGTGGCATAGACCTAGATTTTAGAAGATGGAGTTAGGAGACTCGGGAATTCGAGAGTTCAAGGCCACCTTGAGCTGTATGAAACAAAGAAGGAAAAAACCTGAACAACAAATGAGACCCAAGAAGATACACACAAAAAACAAATTAGGAAGACAATGCAGATATGAACGAGGAACTCATTGAACAAAGGATTGCTGTGAGTTCAAGGCCACCCTGGACTACAGATTAAGATGATTTCTCAAAGTCAAACAACATGCAGCTGCAAGTCTCCAAATCAGACTCGCTTAAGCAGATACACTAAGAATATTGGTCTTTCAGAATATCTTACTCATAAAAAAAATAATAAATGAAAGGGAACAAGACAGTGAGAAAAAAAACTGCAGGATCTTTGTAGTACTACTAAAAGATCAAATGCCTGCAGAATTGGCATACTTAAAGGAGAAAAAAAAATAAAGACTGAGGACACAGAAAAATCTATTCAATAAAATAAGAGCAGAAAGTTTCCCTAGTCTTTGAAAAACGCATGCATTCAAGTATAGGAAGTCTGAGATCCCCAAATAGCCATGGCCAGAAAAGATCCTCACAACACATTATAGTCGAAATGCCAAAAGTGTATAAAGTAGATGTGTGTGTGTGTGTGTGTGTGTGTGTGTGTGTGTGTGTGTGTGTGTGTGTTATGTGTCCACATGTGCAGCTGTGCATGCCTAGAGGGGCTGGAAGGACATTAGATATATTCCTTTGTTGGACCCCACTTTGGCTTTTGAAGCAAGGCCCATCACTTGACCTTGAAAGTTCACTGCAGGCTGGCCAGCATGCTCCTGGGTCTGTCTCCAACATGGTTGCAGATATGTGCCCTACCTGGGGCTTTACCTAGGTGCTGGGATTTGAACTCTGGCCTTCCTGCTTTCACAGCAAGTACTCTTACCCATGAAGCCATCTCATCACTCCCAGAAGTAGTTTTAAAACCTGCAAGGGGAAAGCACCAAATCACACTGAAGGGCAACCTTAGTGGACTGCCAACAGAATTCTCAGCAGAAACCCGATGGTCTGGAGGACATGAGATAACATATTTGAGTCTTGAAGAAAGTGATTGCTAGCCGAGCTTCCTATTTCTAGCAAGGCTGTCCTTTAGAATTACCAGAACACAGTCCAAGATTCCTGTGAGGAGAATTCCATGTGCTTCTGAGAAAATACCAAGAAATCAAGACAAGAGTCTTGTGACCTCAGCTTCTTCAAAACATGGAATTGCTTTTGGAATGTGTTTTCATGCTCCTCCCAGATGTAGCAGGTAGGAGTGAGTTCACTTCAGATAATTCATTACAACTGGCTATTGTCATTTACTTGGATGCCTCTATGGATAAACAGGTTTTTGCCATGTGCAGCTTGCCCTCGTGAGTGTACACTTCACTAGTGTGACTCTTGGTCCTCAGAGTATAAACTGTCTG